GATGGTTCTATAAGAATTTGTGGAGACTACAAAACTACACTGAATAAGCAAATAGAGCTAAATAGGTACCCTATACCTAACATTGAGGAAATCTCTTTGAATTTGGCAGGAGGAGACAAATTCACTGAATTAGACTTTAGTCATGCTTACACTCAACTAGAACTGCATCCAGATTCAAAAGTCTATACGACAATAAACACACATAAAGGACTCTACCAATATGAAAGACTATGTTTTGGCATATCATCTAGCCCTGGAATTTTCCAAGCTGTCATGGACAGTATTTTTAAGGACATTCCAAATGTTTGTGTGTACTTTGACAATGTGTACATAACTGGTAAGAATGACACTGAACATCTTAAAACACTTGATAAAGAATTGAAAATTGTTGGTGAAAAAGGTTTAAAGATAAACAAAGATAAATGTCAATTCATGCTGACAGAAATTAGTTTTCTTGGTTATATATTAAGCAAGCAAGGCATCAGACCTCAACCTGAGAAAACAAAAGCCATTAAGGAAGCACCCAAACCTGAAAATACTCAACAACTAAGAGCTTTTTTGGGCTTGATAAATTACTATGCAAAGTTCATAGGGAATCTGTCTGGTAAACTATCACCACTGTACAAGCTGCTACAGAAAAATGCAACTTGGCACTGGGGTAAACAACAAGAAGCTGCTTTTAATACAGCAAAAGAGGCTTTGTCTGCTGACACCTTACTAACTCACTATGACCCAGGGAAAAGACTTATATTAACATGTGATGCTTCACCAGATGGTGTAGGAGCAGTCTTGTCCCACATGGATGAGAAGGGTGACAGACCCATTGCTTTTGCCAGTAGATCTTTGAACCAGGCTGAGAAAAATTATTCTCAGTTAGATAGGGAAGGCTTAGGCATCATTTTTGGTGTTAAGAAATTTCATAAGTTTCTGTTTGGTAGGAAGTTCACCATCTTTACAGATCATAAACCATTGCTAGGTTTATTTGGAGAAAACAAAACCCTACCTGAGCATGCCTCACCAAGAATTCAAAGATGGGCTATCACACTAACTGCATACAATTATGAATTGAAATACAAACCTGGATCTGAGAATAGTGCAGATAGCCTTAGTAGATTACCTTTAAAAAAACCAAAGCCTGAGCTATGTACCAGAAGATGTATTTGTTCTCTTCACTATCATGGATAACTCCAATATAAATGTGAATGATATTAAGAGAGAAACACAAAAAGATGAGTGCTTAATAAAAGTATATGAGTACTGTAAGAATGGTTGGCCTGAAGAGTCTGTGAATGATGACTTAAGGCCATATAAAATAAGAAATAAAAACCTTTGTGAAGATAATATAAAAGATGGAGAAGATGCAGTCCATTATCAGTCAGAGCTACCTAAACAAAGTATTTGTAACTTAATAAATGATTATGGTGATATGGCAATTTCAAATGCTTTAAGTAAGAAGGAATGTGATCATAAAACAACTTTGCTAACATCATTAGCACTTACAGAAAATAAAAGGGTAACATCAAAAGGAAAAAAGATTTTTGCCATTTAATACACCCACTTCAAATACTGGATCACAGTTGCAAAGTGATATTGTCCAGGATATTACTTTTAAACAGTATTTTTGGTTACCAAAAAGCACTATCAGATTACCTGAGGAAATTGATCAATCAAAGAAATCTATGTCAGTCAAGGATCTGAATAACAGCATAATACTTCCAGATGCCAATTCAAAAATAGTTCCATTAAATCATGACAAAACATGCATTGAAAGAGAATTTGGTGTTAATGAGAATGTGTATCTAAGAAATTATGGGAGAAAGGAAAAATGGATACCAGGTCAAATTGTTCAATGTACAGGACCTGTGTCTTATAAAGTTAAAAATAACTTGTGCAGATAATAAGTGTGAATCTGTCAATCCCACCAAATCTGAACAGTTCACACCAACTCAGTTTGTTCCACAACCAAGTTCTGTTGATATGAGTGAACCAAGTTGTCTGGAGTCAGAAAATGTAAATTCTGGAGTTAATGATTTAAATCCTAGACCTCCTGAGATAGAGAATCCAGATGGTCAGAATATTGAGTCACCAAATCAAAAGCCACTGAGAAGGTCAAGCAGGACAATCAAGGTCCCAAATAAGTTAGACCTATGATTCTAAAGGTCAAAAGGACTTTGACATTATTGTTTTGTATTTTGATTATGTTGTAGCATATTGTGCATTGTTTGTAAGGATGTAATCTACCATAGTGTTCATGTTACAATATAATTGGTGATTTTAGGATACTATCAATTGTTCTATTGAGAGATGTGTTATTATGTTCTAAGGGTAAAGGGATGTAATAGATTGAAATAATTGTGAGGTCAAGGGAACTCACTCTTCTGTATTAGTTATATTTATAATATTGTTATCTTGAGTGATGTCCCTTGTGTACTTCCTTCCGTCCTCTCTGTTTGTTACCATCGTGATGTAGTTAGACCCAATAAATGTGTTATATACAACCACAGGCTTCTGTCGTCAATCTATTATAGTTTACAATAAAGGGAAATTTATTTTAAAAATAAAACAACTATTTCTAATAAAACGTGTATTTAAAAAAAAAAAATTTAATAAAATATGTATTTAAAAAAATTGTTATTTTAATTTAATGAGACATGAAATTAAAAAAAATATATTTTATTTAATTACACAATTCTGCTGACAGTAAGTCTACGATTAAGATTTGTTGTAATACCGTAATCCTGCTGAAAATAAGTCTACAATTAAGACTTGTAATACCGTAATTTGGCTCACACTCCCAACACATGTGACAACTCACGACCAATGAAATCGCTTAAAATTTAAGGCTGTATCGTTTGTGTTGATCGCTGTTGTTTAACACTAATTGTAGTGGTAAAATCAGTTTAGATATAGTTGTGAAGAAATGAGAGTTCTTCAGTTAGTGTAAAGCTACCCACAGGACCAGGACACAAGTCTGGCCCCTACCCACAGGACCAGGACACAAGTCTGGCCCCTACCCACAGGACCAGGACACAAGTCTGGCCCCTACCCACAGGACCAGGACATAAGTCTGGCCCCTACCCACAGGACCAGGACACAAGTCTGGCCCCTACCCACAGGACACAAGTCTGGCCCCTACCCACAGGACCAGGACACAAGTCTGGCCCCTACCCACAGGACACAAGTCTGGCCCCTACCCAAAGGACCAGGACACAAGTCTGGCCCCTACCCACAGGACCAGGGCACGACTGGCCCCTACCCACAGGACCAGGACAAAAGTCCCTACCCCAGGACAAGGACACAAAATGTGGTCTGGTCCTTGGTCTACTGTTTACCCAAATTACTGTTCTTGAGAAAACTTGAATGTTCTACTTTCTTTATTATTCCAAGGCATTGCCTTTTTTTTCAAGAAAAATGATATTTGGAAATGAGAATCACAAATTAAAACGAAAATATAAGTATATTTAGAAATAGGAAAATTAAACAATATTTGCCAGTCTTCCTCCCCCCCCCCCCCTCCCACCCTCTTCAAAGGTAGATCAAATCACACCAGCGACTTATTTCGTTGTGAGTATCACTTTGTGCTTTGAAAATAAAATTGAAAAGAGAAAAAAGATACATCGAAATGAAAAAAAAATTGAAAAATTTCGTTTAAAAAACAAGATAAAAGTGCATCGAAGAAGAAACTTTTAATAATGAAAGTAGGATTATTCAATTTGTCATCAAGCTGTTTATAAACGTTAAATTATGATATCAAATTTCACCTAAAATAACCCACCAATGTTAACATCAAATTTTAAAAATGTAACATAATAAATATCAAATTTAAACATAAAATCAAAGCCAAACAATTTCTTTAGATAAAAATGTGTTTTTTGTTTTTGTTTTTTTGTAAAACAAGTATTTATAAATCCGCAAAATATAATTAAAAGTACACTTTTCTTGAAGGAGAAATTAAAACAAACATAACAGGCCACTAACTCTTCTAGCTAGCCGAGGCGACGAAAACCTAATACGCCCAACACATTGTTGATGATTCCACCTGGTCTGTTGTTAGACCTAGCAGATCCTTGCCGGTTGTTCATTGGGTTGAACCTCGAATTTCTCTGTTGACTTGGGGGATTTTGAGATCTTCTCGATCCCATGTTTCGACTTCGGTGACTCTGAAATCTAAACAATCCAATTTTTCTACTTTGGTGACTTCGAGATCTAGACGATCCTCTTTTTCTACTTTGGTGACTTCGAGATCTAGACGATCCTCTTTTTCTACTTTGGTGACTTCGAGATCTAGACGATCCTCTTTTTCTACTTTGGTGACTTCGAGATCTAGACTTTCCTCCTTTCCCACTTCTAGAATGGTGAGAGTTGCGATGTGATCGTCGTTTTGATGTAGTAGTAGTTCTTCTTCTAGTTGTTCTTGTTGTTCTTGTTGTTGTTGATGTTGTAGATAATGTAAGTGTTGTATTTGATGTTGGTGTTGTAGTTAAGGATGTTTCAAGTGGTGTTGTAGTTGATGCTGTGTCAGGTGTAGTAGAAGTTGTTTCAGGTGTTGTTGTTGTTTCAGCAGGTGTTGTTGTTTCAGTTGGTGTTGTTGTTGTTTCAGGTGAAGTTGATGTTGTTCCAGGTGGTGTTGTAGTTGTTTCAGGTGTTGTTGTTGTCTCAGGTGTTGTAGTTGTTTCAGGTGGTGTTGTTGTTGTTTCAGGTGTTGTTGTAGTTGTTTCAGGTGTTGTTGTAGTGGTTTCAGGTGTTATTGTCGTTGTTTCAGGTGTTGTAGTTGTTTCAGGTGTTGTTGTAGTGGTTTCAGGTGTTGTTGTCGTTGTTTCAGGTGTTGTTGCAGTTGTTTCAGGTGTTGTCGTTGTTTCAGGTGTGGTTGAAGTTGTTTCAGGTGTGGTTGTAGTTGTTTCAGGTGTTGTTGTAGTTGTTTCAGGTGTTGTTGTAGTTGTTTCAGGTGTTGTTGTAGTTGTTTCAGGTGTTGTAGTTGTTTCAGGTGTTGTTGTAGTTGTTTCAGGTGTTGTAGTTGTTTCAGTTATTGTAGTGGTTTCAGGTGTTGTTGTAGTTGTTTCAGGTGTTGTTGTAGTTGTTTCAGGTGTTGTAGTTGTTTCAGGTGTTGTTGTAGTTGTTTCAGGGCATGTTGTTGTAGTTGTTTCAGGTGTTGTAGTTGTTTCAGGTGTTGTTGTTGTTTCAGGTGTTGTAGTTGTTTCAGGTGTTGTAGTTGTTTCAGGTGTTGTTGTAGTTGTTTCAGGTGTTGTTGTAGTTGTTTCAGGTGTTGTTGTAGTTGTTTCAGGTGTTGTAGTTGTTTCAGGTGTTGTTGTAGTTGTTTCAGTTGTTGTAGTTGTTTCAGGTGTTGTTGTAGTTGTTTCAGGTGTTGTAGTTGTTTCAGTTATTGTAGTGGTTTCAGGTGTTGTTGTAGTTGTTTCAGTTGTTGTAGTTGTTTCAGGTGTTGTTGTAGTTGTTTCAGGTGTTGTTGTAGTTGTTTCAGGTGTTGTAGTTGTTTCAGGTGTTGTTGTAGTTGTTTCAGGTGTTGTAGTTGTTTCAGGTGTTGTTGTAGTTGTTTCAGGTGTTGTAGTTGTTTCAGGTGTTGTGGTGGTTTCAGGTGTTGTTGTAGTTGTTTCAGGTGTTGTAGTTGTTTCAGGTGTTGTGGTTGTTTCAGGTGTTGTTGTAGTTGTTTCAGGTGTTGTAGTTGTTTCAGGTGTTGTTGTAGTTGTTTCAGGGCATGTTGTTGTAGTTGTTTCAGGTGTTGTAGTTGTTTCAGGTGTTGTTGTAGTTGTTTCACGTGTTGTAGTTGTTTCAGGTGTTGTAGTTGTTTCAGGTGTTGTTGTAGTTGTTTCACGTGTTGTAGTTGTTTCAGGTGTTGTTGTCGTTGTTTCAGGTGTTGTAGTTGTTTCAGGTGTTGTAGTGGTTTCAGGTGTTGTTGTAGTTGTTTCAGGTGTTGTAGTTGTTTCAGGTGTTGTTGTAGTTGTTTCAGGTGTTGTAGTTGTTTCAGGTGTTGTAGTGGTTTCAGGTGTTGTTGTAGTTGTTTCAGGTGTTGTAGTTGTTTCAGGTGTTGTTGTAGTTGTTTCAGGTGTTGTAGTTGTTTCAGGTGTTGTAGTGGTTTCAGGTGTTGTTGTAGTTGTTTCAGGTGTGGTTGTAGTTGTTTCACGTGTTGTAGTTGTTTCAGGTGTTGTTGTAGTTGTTTCAGGTGTTGTAGTTGTTTCAGGTGTTGTTGTAGTTGTTTCAGGTGTTGTTGTTGTTTCAGGTGTTGTTGTAGTTGTTTCAGGTGTTGTAGTTGTTTCAGGTGTTGTAGTTGTTTCAGGTGTTGTAGTTGTTTCAGGTGTTGTTGTAGTTGGTTCAGGTGTTGTTGTAGTTGTTTCAGGTGTTGTAGTTGTTGTATCTATCGGTGTGCTGGTCGTCGTCGGAGTTGTCGTCGTCGGAGTTGTCGACGTCGGAGTTGTCGTTGTTGTGGTTGTTGACGTTGTTGTTGTCGTTGCTGTTGTTGTTTTTCGAGAGTTATGACTCCTGGAGTGAGATCTCGAACTTTTGCTATGATGTGAGTGACTGTGTGACCCGTGGTGAGAGCGACTATCTGACCCGTGGTGAGAGTGACTGTGTGACCCGTGGTGTGAGTGCCCATTTGATCGAGTTGTAGTTCGTCTTGTCGTCGTTGTTCTTCTATTTTCTCTTTCTGTAAATAAAGGAATATTGGGTTAGTTTTTTTTATTCATTCTGTTTAACGGATGTATCTATAGTATTTTGAAACATTTCTAACGAGTGAATATTTTACTTCTATTTCAATTTTTTTTTAAATTTAATTAGTGAAACATGCCCTAAACAGTCTGATAAAACTTCTTTAAAAACACGACCCCGACAAAAGGCCCCAGTCTCTACGGTCTTTCCAGATTTATTCTGTAGCGAAGGCCTTCGTCAAAAGATTCCCGTTAAAATAGCTCTTGCAAAATAAATTCCTATATTAAATCTGCAGAAAGCTGCCTACTTCACAATTGCTTATAAATCCCCCCAAGGATCATAAACTTCGGCAAAACAACGACTACGACAATAGCGCTCTTTGCAAACGCGCTCCCGTCAATAAGGATTGCAAAGCACAACAAAAAACCAAAAGGGTTGTAACACCTTATGATGCCTAGAACTAATGGAGCCAACCTACTAGATCAGTTGTATTTTCTTTTCAGACCACTTCATCTAAAACACCATCCAAAACACCATCTCGACTGGACTTTTCCAGGTCAGTGTAGAGCTACCCTGTTTCTGTTACCATGGTATAAGCCAGTGTCAACGGGTCAATTCTATAACCGGTCGTATTTATCTTCCCTAACGAGGGATTAACATGGACTCGAGTCCAGGATCTGAACTCGAGATTTTCAGGTTATAGCCATTGGCTCTACATTCCGGCCACACTTTAGCTGTATGGTTTTATACGTATTAACGCTACCCCCATTTGAATTATTTACTATTGATAAATATTTAAACTAACATATTTTACTAGTACATAAACCTACAAGTTTACATTTATGCGTTTAATAACATCCCAAAAATGTAAAAATAATAGAAGATAACATAATTAATTATGTAATACAAAGCCAAACTACTTTAGTGTATATATATATATATATATATATATATATATATATATATATATATATATATATATATATATATATATATATATATATTTAAAAGATGTAGTTGTAAACAAATACGTTTTAGACATAGACAATTTTATTGCCTGTTTATTTTTCAATATTTATTTGATTTCCTTCTATTTACCGCAAGACTAAATGAAGAAACATGAATTGTAAAAAAAAATATATTAAAAAATACTTTTAACAAACAATTAAATGACAAACAAATACAACAATTTCATGTTTTTATTTCTACCTTTCTTTTTATTTATAAAACATTTTCCCTTGTTTTAAACTATCAGACGGAAAAAAAAACGCTAGAATTCTAAAAGAGATTCTCCTCATAAGCTTACTGCTGTAGAAAAACCCGAATGAAAATACTTACGAGCTCCAACCTCCACAATACACAGTAGCGCGGCCATAGACACGAGTAGCCACGTCAAGTGACCCATGATTGCAGATCCAGCGAGACTTGTATCACTCGCAAGTGCATGACTTCAGCATTTATACACTAGAAACATACGTCACCGCAACGTCAAAATCCGATTAGCGTTAATAAAAGTTATTATAGTACTTAATTTTGAAATATGGATCATCACTCCTTTGATCCCTGCGGGCCGTATTCAGTTTCTAAAAGCGTATATATATATATACATATATATATATATATATATCTATATATATATATATATATATATATATATATATGTATATATATATATATATATATATATATATATATATATATATATATATATATATATATATATATATATATATGAAATACAGTTTTGCAATTTTTTCTCTATGTCTGTATGTGTGTGTGTGTGTATATCTGTGAACACGATTAACTTGATTGCCGTTACAGCTAAGTTGTTGCAATTTAATTTCATGTATAAGTATTATATCAAATGTGTAGTTCTGTATCAACTTTTCAGCGATTTCCGATAACCGGAAGAGGTATTAATTCTACGTTTGGTTTTTCAAAAGCCTACAACCTGCGTACTGTTTGAGATAGATAAACGAAATTTCGCATGTAAGTAAAAGATCTTATTCCCTGTCTTGTGTCAAATTTTGATTAAATTAACTTCCGTTGACTGAAAGCTTTACGTTTTCCAATTTCCGATGTCTCAAAAACGAATTTATAAAGTACTAATGCTCCGCACTATTATACACATATTGTTTGCCGCTCACTTGGTGCGCAATTCTTTTTTTCTACGCTATTCTATTCTATTTTTTAAAGTTTAAGTAATTAAAAATTGATTAAAAATCATGTCTATATGTTGCCATCCCCCGTAGTGTTATGTAAGAATATTCGAGAAAGTTTAGGGGAAATCACTCCCGCTTTATTTCATCTTTGTTGGTAACTGTATTGTTAATCATTAACAAAACTATAAGATAATTTTAAAGGGATTATTGCGATAATTATCACGGGTTATCGATGCGGCCCGCGTGCCGAACATTTCAAACACTTACATTAACAACAACTGCGTACGAGACTTTAGGCTTACAGGGGCGAAACACTCTGAACTGTTTTCTTCTGAAGTTTCTGGTTAAAATAGAAACACTTTTTGGCCAAGATCTGTACTTTAGATGTTTGTTTTTTTATTACACGGTCGCTTTGTATTGTTGTATTGAAGCGAACAAAAAAGCATGTGTGTTATTTTGGTTTTAGAAAAAGATGCACTACAAGAATTCATTTTGTACCAACATGCATGGTCTAGAGTCGGGCCGAGAAATATCGCTGATTTAAATATATCTAATCTCAATAACGTCATCCAAGTACTCATTAATGCTGGGTGGACTCATGTACGATCTGCAGAGTAGAATCCAGATTAAAATCTAACTTGAAACTTTCAAGTTAAATTTTAATCTAACCAACCGACCACGTAGATAGTTTGTTTTTTTTTCTTTTAAACTTACATTTTCGTTTGTCAAATTACTTAAAACAGCCACAGAGATACGTATAACACTACTAACTTCTTCTTCGTTCTTAAATATAATCTCTAACCGTTCTTAAATATAATCTCTAACCGTTCTTAAATATAATCTCTAACCGTTCTTAAATATAATCTCTAACCGTTCTTAAATATAATCTCTAACCGTTCTGAAATATAATCTCTAACCGTTCTTAAATATAATCTCTAACCGTTCTCAAATATAATCTCTAACCGTTCTTAAATATAATCTCTAACCGTTCTTAAATATAATCTCTAACCGTTCTTAAATATAATCTCTAACCGTTCTTAATTATAATCTCTAACCGTTCTTAATTATAATCTCTAACCGTCCTCCCGCCCCCTCCCTCGCTCTCCAGGCATGCGCAACAGTGTGTACCCACCCACACCACAACTGTGTCTTTCAGGAAGTTTTCACCCGTCACTAAATAGCGGCGTATGCTAGGCCGCGGCTCGGCTCGTACACTAAATTTCTTCCAGCCAATTTTGTTTTGCAAAACGTTATTGAAAGTTTCGGTAACTGGACTTATTCTTTTATAATATTAGTTGCTTTTGTATAGAACAATACAGAGTAAACATATTTCTATCATACCATTCATACCCAATCTAGTAAAACAAAATATGTTTTTTTTTAAATAAACACTAGATATTTTTCTAATCCGCCTTTGTGTATTTAGACATTGCGCAATATTGTTTTGTTGGTGGAAAATTTTAATAAATCCCTCTGTAGTTTTATTGAGACGGTATGCTTGAGTTGTTCAGTTAGCCGCCCACTGCAGATTCATATTGTTTACTGAATTTTGTTTTCGAGAAATAAACTCTACTCCAACTACACTGCCGTCGCTGTAGATTATCATACGGTGAAACTATCGGTGAAAGATCATTACATGCCTAAGCTAACAGCAAAAGATCATTGTATGTTGAAACTAAAAGCAAAATATCATTACATGTTGAAACTAAAAGCAAAATATCATTACATGTTGAAACTAAAAGAAAAGATCATTTCACTGCGAAACTGTAGGCAAAAGATCATTATATGCTGACACTTAAAGCGAAAGATTATTATACGTTAAAAGATGAACATTCTATTTAATAAAAAAACATCATATATTTTTTGTAAAATGGACTTTAAAATAAAGAACAGTATAAAGCAAAATAAATTGCAATTTATAAAATTCTGTTGATTTACAAAAGACTGAACACATTTTAACACAAATAGGTAGAACATACCACGGCAGAACATTTTAAAATAAAGTACATTGTGTTAATTAACATCATATTGTTTTCTAGATATAAATTTTGAAAAAAAAATCGTATAAACGGATATAAAGATCTTTATCAAAAATAGCTTCTTATAAAAATCAA